GCAAAGCATGCTGTTGAGGGATGTGGGCAAAGGACCCCACTCATTTTAGTAACCAGCCTAGAGCCCACCAGTGCTGATCCCTTTTTTTTTTTAATTGTAATTAAGAGCTTGACACATTCTGTGGGGGTTCCCTCTTTTTTGTGGGAATAAATATGTTTTGTGGGATTAAAGATACATTGGGCAGTTCCTATCTCAGCGCTGTGTTTTAGACTGTCACATTACAAATGACAGAGATAAAGTACTCTATAATTTATATGCACACATATTCAGATGCAGTTAATTAATTCTAGTTAAAGACTTATGATTGAAAGCTATGTATCCTTTAAAGGAAGAATATTGAGAATTTGGATAGGTTTTTAAAAAAATCATAAATGTAATAAATACCTGTTATTACAATAGTTTTCTACTCTCAATTTTAGGTGATGCTGGCGTGTTTGTTATGACTCACCTCTTCTTATTGCAGCTATTAACATAATGGTCATTGGTTTTTATAATTTCCTCTTAGTTCGTTATTTTTGATGTGCACAACATAACATATATTTGGATTAAAACAATGTACTTGTTTTCAGTTAAGTAAGGGTTGAGGTATGATAGTCTTTGGAATCATTTACATGACTCTGGAGGTAGGGACAGACTTTTGCAAAATTATTTAGCCATAATCAACATGGTTATTCAGTCTCTTCACTGGAAACAGAAATCACAGTGATCATAACATACCCCAGCTGGGAAGGTTGATTTTTCACATTCACCGGGTTGTTAGCATTAGAGAAACACAGTTTCACTCTAATCAGAGAAAGCATAAAATATAAAAGGTGTCATTACTGACCTACCATTAGTAACACATGCAGAATCTGAGATCAAGAAGGTGTTACTTCCCCTAGAGCCAAGGCTGATGTTTCCAGTTGGATGGTACCTTTGATGATGAAGCCGTCAGCCCATGGATCGGTGTACAACCATTCACTTAAGGGATTGAACTAGACTGGTTGAAAAATTAGATAATGAAGGGCAGATAAATAAGACCATGAGAAGTGTGGACGAGCGAGCCCCACGGCTTGGTTCTCTTTTCTCACTGAAGATCTGTGAGTATTTGATGAATAAGGACCCAGAGCATATCACCTGCTCATCTTTGCTAGGTGCTCTTCTAAAGCAGCAGGAGTCTGATGTGACAGCCAGCAGAGAAATTGCTGCCCCAGGAAATGCTTCGCCTTTGACTGATTGCTGAATTGCTGAATGGCTGGCAAATTAATTTTGGCACCTTTACCTAAGTCATTTTGCTCCCATTCCTCCATTTCTCTGCTGGAAAGTATGTATTCACATTACAGTTAAAAATATGTCGACAACACAAATGTAGAGAACAGCATGTACTGTTTCAGGAAAGAAGTTGTAGGCTGGGATGGTTCCATTTTATAGAATAGAAATGATGTCATCGTGCTCTGAGAGAAGGCCTGAACTCTCCTTTCAGCTCAACTTAAAATCAGTATTACTTCTCACTGACTTCTTACAAAATCAGGGGCTCCAGGGTTTAAGATATTGAGTGCTTGAGGAGCTTCTGTTCTGGTATTTTCCTCTTAGGTAATGTTTAGCAAACCTTTTATATTTAGCAAACCCTCCAAGTCCACCAAAATCCTAGTACCGTTGCTTCCTTATACATTTATCTCTTCAGCCTCTAGCAAGAGATAATTTGGGGGGTGGTTAATAGCATGAGCTCTGAATCCTGTCTATACCACTCATTGGCTCTGTGACCTTTAGTGGGTTTACTTAACTTCTCTGTGCCTCTGTTTTATCATCTGTTAAAGGGACTCATAATGACAATAACTCACTGTACTCTCTCTAGATCTCTTTGTTCACTGTCATTGAACAGTGCCAAGTTTTAAACTCAATGTATTTCACACTAATTTTTCCTTTTCTAATAATGTATCTTATTACTGCTGACAAAAGTAAAAGGAATGTGCACTTTTGCTTTGGCTCTTTTCAAAATAAGTGAAAGGTGCCATGCTTGAGACTTATAAAAGTAAACTTTGATAAGACGGGGTAGTTGAAGCCCTTGCCTCGGGATGAAGATTGATGTTCTGTTGTCTCAGCTGGTGACACGTTACAGTGTCATAAGGCTGGGTGCTGGCTCCCTGACTCTCCTGATGTGATTGGCCTGTTCCTGTCATTGATCTGTCACAACTTGTCATTCTTGTCCTTAAGAGTTAAAAGGTGTTAAGTGTTTATTATAATTACTGATTCTTCTTCTGTTATAGTATTATCTTATAAATTAATTGTGGTAAAATACATACAGCATAAAATTTACCATTTTACCATTTAAGTCGTTTTCAGTGGGGTTTTCTTTTTTGTGGGAACATTTATTAGAACCTGAAAAACTTGTCATCAATAAGGAGACTGTGTTAAAGATACAGAAATCTGAAAGGGCTATCACAATGACTTGAAACTCCTCAGCTTTTAGACTGGCCATTCAAGGCTGCTCCACCTTACGCTATAGATGCCATCTGAGAATCTGCATATGTCTGTAAGTTCAGTCAGTTCAGTCGTGTGACCCCATGGGCCGCAGCACACCAGGCTTCCCTGTCCATCACCAACTCCAAGAGCTTACTCAAACTCGTCCATAGAGTCGGTGATGTCATCCAACCATCTCATCCTCTGTCACCCCTTCTGGAGTGGGTTGCCATGCCCTCCTCCAGGGAATCTTCCTGACCCAGGGATTGAACACAAGTCTCCTGCATTTCCTGCACTGCAGGCAGCTTCTAGGTACATGTTGTGCTTTTTCTGGCAAATAAAAAAGTATGCCAGTTTAAATAAAATTCAATCAGTAACTGGAATGACTCTTAAGACACAGAATATGCTCAATAAATATTTGCTGAAAGGATGAATCAATGAAAAAATGTATGCTAATTTCAAAAAACAGTAATACTGATACTCTACAAAGAATTTGTTTCTACTTAAATTTAAGAAGTTTAATGATGAACCTACAATAAAATTTGGTCTCAAGGGTAGTTCCATTAGGCCATAGAAGCATGAAAATAGTGATTATAACCAAAAGAGCCAAATTAAAACTGTATTAATTTAGGAATAGTGTCAACAATTAATAATAATTAAGATAAAGTTTCATATTTTCATCCTTTTTAAAAATCAAGTAGAATATTTAAATTAGCAACATAAGCAATATATTATAAAAGGAATGTCCCTGCTAAAAGAATAAGCTGAATTGTACTTCAAGAAAACTATTTGCCCATGAAACTCAACTATAAGGATTTATAACTGGCAATCCATCCGATTGTATCCTATTTACCAATAAAAATTATGATAATATAGTGTCCCAAATATTATATATTTCAAACTATTTACTAATGCAGACTAAACTTTCTTCAGATTCATTAGCATTGATGACCTTTGCTTATGAAGTCAAGAATATGTTTTTAGAAAAATAAATTGAAGTCTTGTAGATGGGAGAGATTAAAAAGTTTGTGCTTAGCTAAACACATAGCAGTTAATTTTAAGTAAATCATAAAATTTAGCAATAGAAGTGATTGAGTCCTTTCTTTATTTTCTTTTTTTAAAAGACCCCACTTTGGGGAAGACTAATGTGTAGATGAATAACCATACTCAGCAATACTGCATAGTACATGTCTAATGTGTGGGAGTAGGTTAGAAGCAGCTCAAACTAATGGGGTTAACCCGCATGATTTAATCACCCAGCCCTAGCACAAAGCAGACAAATAGCAGAGAAGCAGGGAGCAGTCAATTTATTTCTAAATTATTCCTAGCTTTTGTGTTTCAGAGTGTCACCAAGTAGATACTAGGTGTGCATTTCCTACTGTTTCCAAGTCTCTTCTGTCTCCCCCAGTTAACTGATTATTGAGCCATAAGCAAGATACATTTCATTCATTACCAGCACAGGACATTATTAAGAGTCATTTTACTGATTGGCTGGGAAGCTCTCTTTCTTCTTCCCCCTAATCTAACCTCCAGTAGAAGTGAATTTAGGAGGTGGCAGCTTACAGATACCCAAGAATCACACAGACTGCTTGTTTTCCTGGTTTGGGATTCCAAGACATCCCCAAGCTCCCAAAGGGGCTCAGTGTTCTTGTTGCTGTTCACTTTATATAGTTTTAAATGGTTGACTCCATGGTAAATCCCTTCCAGAAATGCTGAGCATGAAGAGGGCTGTTGGGAAAACCAGTTGAACTTGATTAATTGTGGAAAAAAGACATGCAAGTGAAGTTGGGATTGAGACCTTTCTGAAACTACGTTTAACTTTTAGTGATATTCAAGTTAGGGTTGGAGAAATTTACTTTTTCCCCAAAGTAAAAATAGATACATTGTTTTGTGTTATACATAATGCTTATTGCAAAAGCCTTCAGACTATACAGAAATCTACAGACTTCTATATTTCATAGTCATTCTATGTCTCAAAGATAACAACTGTTACTGTTTTGGTATGAAGCTTTCTGTATTTTTCTATGGCTTTACAAACTTTTAGTTAATTATAGGATATTTAAAAAATAGAATCAGACTATATATGTTATTTAGTAATGTGTCTTTTAATGTAGTTTTCTCTATGAAGAAATTTTCATCATAATTTTTAATTGCTTTCCTGTATCCCATGGTATAAACCTACCATTTTTGGTTTCTAATTTTTCACAAATAGAAGGATATTCTTGTACATATGTGTGTATATACTTCTGTACTTTTTTCTTGCTATGAATACTTAAATTGGAATTGTGTAAAAAGTTTTGTATCAATTGTGGTGAGTGCCCATGCTTCCCCATTCTTAGAAGTCATATAGGAAGATGTGGTGCTCTAGAGTGGATAGCTAGTCTATGAGTTTCGGGTCATGGAAAGTGTCACATGGCCATGTGGTTGTGTTCCTGGTTGTTGAAGTGAGTCACCATTGCCCAACCAGTGTATTCATTTGTTTGCCAGATGGGATAACCTGGTTTTCTTTGTACAGTCTACTGTCCTATCTTAAACCCTTTTTCTGTGTTCTTCTCCCTTAGATTGAGGAAGACACGTGGCAGAAATACTACTTGGAAGGAGTCTCAAATGAAATGTACACAGAATATCTCTCCAGTGCCTTTGTGGGTCTGTCCTTCCCTACTGTTTGTGAGTAAGTGACCATTAGCCGCATGCTCTTTGGCTTTCACGAACATTCAATGTGTCCCTTGCAGGATAAACATCTCACCAGTAGCCAGCACAGTGCGGCCATTGAAAATTACCAGTGTCTTGTGCTCAGCCTTTTGCAATGAAGGGGAAAGTTGGTCTTTGTATGGCCCCTGCTTTGGGGGTTTCTGCTAACTTTCCTTTCCCTCCAGTTCTGAGAATCTTAGGTTTGGATCCTTCATATGCACTAAATTATGAACTGCAGTTTTTCCTGCATGTCTTGAATTATGCCCCTGTGATATAGACATTTGTATGAAAGGTGGCATGAACCATGCCTCTGATTTTACCAGGGCAAGACCAAGTCTTGCTAGCCCCTTGATGAAAGAAATTTTAATTTCTTTCAATCAAGTCAGATCATAAAGACATCAAAGAAGCTGCTGTTCAAAGTGCTTTCTGTATTTGCTGAGGGAATGTGGAGCCAAATGTACGCAAAGAGGCTTTTAATAGTCCTGAGCAATTTAGCCCCAAGATGGACATCTGCTTTTATAACAATAAAAAGCCTTAGTGTCTCCTTCTACTGGTTTAGCAGGATGGATATGAGCAAGGGGTGGCCCTAGCCTGCATGACCCTTTAAGGTAGAACAGGTGATCATTTAAGGGCTATGATGTCAGGAGCTCCAGGTATCCCAGACCTCAAGAAGCTTTCACCAGGATGATGGCTCAGATCCCCCACCTAGAAGCTCAGATGTTGGACAGAAGTCAAATAGATGCTTTGTCCCCATGAAAATACAGACTGGGAATGCTGCAACATGCAGCCCCATCCTTTGACACTGTAGCAGAGACTTTGGTAAACTCAGTCTCACTGATAAAAACTGTGATGAAGCAGGAAAATCTAGGAACTCATTGGGCTGAGGAAGAAGAGATATTCCTTTTTGCTGTCTGCATGCCTGCAAACCAAACCCACCTTCTGGAAAGGGCGACCTGAGGAGGACCGTCCTGGGGGCTCTTGGGCTCCTCAGAGTTTTCTGTTCTGTGAACAGCAGAGAGGAGCCAGAGCACCCAGTAGCTTGGTGTTTACCTGTCAGTGACTTCCATCAGTGAGCACAGCAGGTGCATCCTGCCTGTCCCCGGGCCCAGACCCTGAGCAATCCAAAATCGTTTAACTGTTTACTGAGATTTCTCACCCTGTCTCAATGCGGAAGTTTAAATGCTAAATGGACTGGAAAAGTGAATAGGTAATTGATTCCGAAGGAGTTATTTTCTGAAAATGGATGCCCTATTGTAACTCCCATGTGTTCCTTTCTTTGAGAGCTATTTCTCATTCTGCCATAGAAAGGAGTTAACCATTCAGAGGCACTGGGTCCTGGAGCCCTGAGGCGGTCCCAGGGGATTTTCTCTACTTTGGAACGTGGACTGCCTAGGATAGAAAGCCCAGGAGGATTCCGGACTCGTATTAGAAGCTGGTTCTATAAAAAGGCAGTTGAAGCCGCCTGTGTCTAATGCAGGGGTGGTCTGAGCGCACAGCAGACCTGCCAGGGCCTGGAGGAGTCCTGTGCACTGGGGACGTGATGGGGGACTATGCGAAGCCCCCTTCTTTGGCTGTTGAGCCTCTTTGACTTGACTGGTATCAACCTGAGTGCTCCCTTGGAAGTCCATTCATCTGTCCCCCGGGGCCCCCACCCCCTGGCCCCCTGCTTTCTGCCTGCTTCTCATTTGTGCTTCTGGGAACTGAGACAGTTCATTTTAACAGTGTTAACCTGGAGGGTTAGGAGTGCTCTGTCTGGAAGTTCCAGCTGGGGTGTCTCTGGGGTCAGTTTGACTCACATATTTGTCCTACACAGTGTTTACTTTAAAACTAAGTTTTAAAACTTAGTCGCCAGTGTTGCAAAGAAATGGTTTCTCACATAAAAACTAGATTAACAACCTCTTTGAAACTTTGATAAACCAACATGGGACCTGCATTTCTACTGAGGCCTAAGTAGCTCCAGTTCACTGTAAGGAGGGGTTTAGTTAAGACCTTCCCCTCCCTGTTGTCTTAAACTGGCCAAATTTGCATTTACATTGGGGCCTGGCCCCCTCCATGGGTGAGCTAGCCCACTCTGACATAGTGGGTGTGTAAAACTTCTCTGCCCACTGGAGCTGGCTCAAGAGCTGGACAGGAGTCTGTAAATATTCCCCTTGATTGATTTTCATGTTGACAACATGTTCTGAGAAGGAGAAAATCCTTCAGACCTACCTTGTTGTCAGAGAATTTAGTATTTGTTTGGTACAGCTTCTGGAATTTAAAAAAAAAAAGATGAAAAACTCGTGAGTGAGAATATGCTCAACTTACTGCTATTATTCCTTTAACACAATGATACAGCAGAGGTAGAAATAATCAATAAAGAAAGGACATTTAATGAGATTTAGGAACATCCCAAAACATTGAAGCTCTCCTCAAGCATTTGATTATCTGGAGGCTTAATTATCTGTGTTTTCTACTTTAAATTAAAGAAAAGCCATAACTCAAAGTTACCAGCAGTTTAATGATAAGACTCTTCAATTCAGGTTAATTAAAGCACAGCTGTAATTAGAGTGTGGGGCTGTATATCACTGGGCTGGCGCATAAGTATTTTCATTACAGTAAGAATTGGCTATTCAATTTCAAGATGACATAAAGGACGCCAAAATATATTTTCAGCTGGTTCATGTAAAAGAAAAAGAATTGGGGACTATTCCGGGTATAATAAAACACAGATAAAATATACAGATTTTCAGAGCCGTTTCTGTAATTATGCACGGCATTAAAACAATATGCAGCCAACAACGTCTTGAAGCATGAAAAGAAATAAATTTGCTCTTCCCCTGGGCTGGCAGAGTGCCCCCTTGCAGGGTAGGATCACCACACCGGAAAGCCTGGAGTTTTCTCAGAAGCTGGGAGAGTCATTCAGTGAAAAGATAAAGAGGCAGGATTAATAGGTGAAATTTGAGGTCATTCCCCCAGAGAACAGCATGTGGAAAGAAGAGAGCAAGGGCAGGAGGACCCCGAGGTTAACTCTTCTAGGCATTTCAAGCAGAGTGATGCTTTCTCCGGCTCAGGTGAGACCTGCATGAGCCGTTGGCCTCCACGTGTGCATCACCAGAAGTCACAGCTTTGTTCCCAAAACAATAATTTAGACAAAATGCAATATCATTTCTAAATATAAATATCATTTACATTCTCTCAATGAGTCTTCACCACAATCCTGTGACCTTTCTGCGAATATCACCATCCCTGGTTTATAAAAGAGGACACTGAGACTCAGATGCTGGTGTTCCCTTCCAAAGATACCTAGCAGACAAACTACAGAGCCAGGCCTCCAATGCTGGGGCCTTATACAATTGAGAACAGCTTGGAGGAGCTGCTAGCTGAAGGCTAGCTAATTAAGAATCTCCTGGGGAGCTTATTAAACAGAGAGACTTCTAGACTCCATCTCTAGATTTTTGTATCTGGGATAAGCCTCCCAAATCTGCATTTGTTTTGCAAGTAAGTCAGGTGATTCCGATTCAAAGTCTGATGACTCAAAACCCCTGCAGACCCCATTCCTCTACACCTAGGAATAACCTCTTATTTCCACTTCGGTCCCTGGGCTGGGAAGATCTCCTGGAGCAGGGAATGGCTACCCACTCCAGTGTTCTTGCCTGGGAAATCCCATGGATAGAGGAGCCTGGTGTGCTATAGTTCATGGGGACACAAGAGTCAGACACAACTTAGAGACTAAACCACCCTGCTCTGGGCTTAGCTATTGGGATGCTTTTCTCTGATTTTAGCCAAATCATAGAATTGTAGGTGGGCCACACCTTGTAAGCTAATGTTAAGAGTTGTGTCTTTGTGGGAGCTTCCGTTCTATCTCTCCTTTTTCATGAAAGGGTATTCTCTATGGACTTTAGAAGTGAGTCTACCCACTACCATGCCAGGCACCTCACTGCACCTAATCTCCCCACTCTCTGCACCTAATCCAAATCAGAATAGGAAAAAGGCACGGGGGTACTGAGCCCTTTAATGCTCTCTGTCCACTGGGGATCACAAAGCAGTTTCAGATAAGCACCAAACGCAGAGAAAGACAATTCAGGATACAACTGGCTAGATACCTCATGGTCTTGAGGGCATCGTGGGGGCCGTTCCTAGAATACCCTTAACATGTTCCTTTTAAGGACCAGCAACTACTGAACTCTCCCCTTGGTTTTTGCATGGCTGGCTTTTCCCTTGGTCTGTGTGGCAATAAGATCAAGGCAGAGGAGTTTTGGGATCTGAAGGAGAGGGCGCCATCCATTGCTCTCTGAACACCAGAAAACAAGCTGCTTCATTTCTCTTCATACTCCCCATCTTCTTCGGCAAGGGACTGTGGAGGGTGCAGATGGCCAGTGCCAGCCAAGCCTACAGGAAGCCAGGGGCTAGGGTATGAGGCTATGTTTGCACTACGGGGTCCTGTTTTTGAGTAGTTTGAATAGTAGGGTGCTGTATGGTATCATGAAGTGTGAGCTGTGGAGTTGCAAGGGTCACACCCCCAGATCAGCGACTCGCTGGATATGTGATTTGGACAAGATGTTTGATTTCTGCCTATCCTTCTCTTGATAATTACCAACTGCCTGACCTTAGACTTGGTGCTTACCCCCTGTCTCCTCATCTCTGAAATCAAAATGATAGAACTTTTCTCAGTACCAGTTCTGCTGCCTTCTTGCCACCATCCTATTTTACCCCACTGAATAGACTATAAGCACAAAAAAAGAAATATATCCTGGCATTTCCAAGTTTTGTATACTCCACTGTTTAGAAAATTCTACCATCAGTCACCAGCCAGTTAATCAGCTAGATATTTAATTATCTTAGGAATCTGTGCCAGTGTGTAGGCATGATGCTGTCTCTAGAAGAACCTACAATTAGATTTGATTAAATATATGCTCATTAAAGGACATCCCAGGTGGCACTAGTGGTAAAGAACCTGCCTACCAATGCAGGAGACGTAAGAGATGCAGGTTCGATCCCTGG